GAGAGAGTGAGAGAGAGGGATGTTTTTCTGGAAAGAGGATTCAACTGCAGAAACGTGATAGGCTTGGGTGTTATTGTCTGGTCTTTATGGGTAGAGAAGACCCTAGTATTGTCCAAAGTATAAGGAAGTTTACCTTATTTTTATTGTATGTTGTATGTGGTTATGTTCTTGAGTGTCTTGAATGATATGAGAAATGCATAAAAATGTGTTTCTGCATTATGATATGTTGTATACCATGATGGTTAGGAGTTTTCCTATGATAATAGGGCTTTCTTAAGGGTTGTGTTAATTATATATGTGTGATGATTGGGTATATGAGAAATATGCAGGTTGAGGGAGTGCCAAATGTAGGTATGTGTTGTATAAAGTTTTATAGGGTTGTATGATGATTATATGTAGTATTATATTTGATGAGAATGAGTGGAATCTATATAATGGGTTTGGGATGATTTCTTTGGTAATATATGTTTAGGGTATGTTTCCATGTATCTATGAGGCTTAAATGTACGAATGATGTGCCAAGTATGTTTCCAAGTGGTTTGGGAATGATGTGTGTGTGTGTTTTGAACATTTGATATTTGTCTAGAATGAGTTTGGATTTGACAATAATCCGTTATCATAAGTGATATTCGATTATTTGCACATCGTTTTGAGTTTCGTCACTAGAATAATCGATTATTTGATATGATAATCAATTATCCTTTCACACGTTGTATAGCTAAAAAATTGGGTGTTGAACCTCTCTAGAATAATCGATTATCATTAGTGGTAATCAATTATCCCAGTGTACTTTTGTTGGAAAAATGCATTTTGAAGAAAAGTGGAGGATGAACAAGCTTCAAGGGTTGTAGAACGTGATATTGAACAGGGAATGGAGCTATTTGGTTTGGTTGGGGTCAGATTGGACTCTTGTTTGACATTGAAGCATGAATGTGTGATTGAATGCGCTAATGGTGGTTGATCAATGAGCATGAGAGGTGAATGACACATGTCTTCTTGTTGTACTAAATATTGATTTAGACTATATGTCACCCAATATGGGATATGACTCTCTTTGACCTTGTGTGCGAAAAGAGAGTGATGTTAGAGTGTTGAACCTTGTTTGTATGGAGAATGAAGTGTTGAATAATGAAATTTTTGAAAAAGATGTTTTTGCGCTATAAGGATGTTTTGAAATGTTCGATTTTTGTAATATCTTTTGACATTTGGAATTTGGAGTGTTACACTCTCTAATAATTTCTTCATTTGAAATTTTGTCCTATTTGAAATTTTGTTCTATATTGTTATTGTTTGTTATAAGAGTTTATTTGGCTTAATCTTATTTTATTTATATATCCAGGTGTCAAAATAATATACTCAAACTAAACATAATTTTAATATCTAATATTCATATAAATATATATAATTTTTTATTTGTTTTAAAATAACGTGAGTGAGTTTTAAGACCAAGGCTACCCTAACCCAAATAACTTATGCTAGTTTGTGTGTGAGCGTGTATGGTTTGATTTTGAAAAAAATTGAAATTCATAAAAAATGTAATTATATTATATGTATAGAAATTTCTACAATTGTGAGACAACGAGTAAATGATATTTACTAGATGATATATTATTAGATGATAAGTTAGATGAGTTGTGATAATATAACTCTAAGCAAAGATATTATCATTTTCAATTTAAAATTTTAATTTTTTAATTTTCTAGACAAATATTCCAAAAGTTGTATATAATATGGGTTTAAGAATATAATTATTATACTTCCATTAACAGGAACAATTTGATCTCTATATAGAAATATAGACAATAAACACATTTTACCATTTTCAACTTTACGCAATGAAAACTTTACATAATGTATTGAACTTCTAAGACAACAACTTCACGTAATATATTTTTTATCCATCTTAAGTTGTTACCTTATTTTATTTAGCAACCTTATGATATTATATATCAGACCTTTATTCAAAAAATTGCTTAAATAAAAATTAGTTTGGTTTAAAGAATACTCATGCTTCTGTAGAAGTGGGTGCCTAAAGAATGTTTGTAATTTAGACAGAAACGACCAAAAAATACATTTAATTTAACCAGAAGTGATTGTATCCAAATAATATATATTTGTAGTTTAGTCAGAAATGATTGGGTCTAAATAGTACTATTGTATCTTATAATAATAGTACTTTATCATAGTGAAACATGTTTGGACAGACCAAGAATTAACCATAGTGTGCATGTTTCATATGAACCTATATATAAAAAAAGCCACCAGAAATCTTTATACCTTTAACTCTATATTGCATGTTATTATTTTGAAACTAACTTAAAGAAGAAAGTGTTGTGAAAACATTTTCTTTAGAATGAAGTTTTAACTGTTCCATTGAAGTTGTATATGACGAATTTCATAAAATGCATCTTTGAAATGAAAACAACATTAAACTTTGTTTGTTTGTATTTATCAACATTGTAAAAAGTTTTTAAAAATATTAAAACACAATTCAACCCTTCATTTTTGTATTTTTTTTTTTGCCTCTATTGTCATTACGCGAAATATTGTATTGATCATCATAAGAAACATTTGTGTATATAATGTTAAGATAAAAATAATCTTCACATGTATTCTCTGTTTTACAAAAATCACTTGAAAAGTGTGAACCTTCATCTAACGCAAACGAGATATATTAAGAAAAAAACAGTGTTAACAATTAATTGTTTCATTTAACATTTTTATCTTGATAGTTACTGCAGTACAATTGATTTTGATGGTGTAATATAGCATAATACCAAAAACACTTATACCAGTATAATATAGCATAATACCAAAAGAAAGGTCAACATTTTTAGTTTGTAGATCTTTCACCTGCTTGCTGGCCATACAAATGAATTCAGTAAATAATTTGATATAGTTGATTGATATGATCGCTTCTTTCACAAATAAACTTATAAATATGTGCAAACCGAATCCTATGTAGGGAGGAATTTTCTATATCGAAGGGGGGTTTGATAAAAAAGATGAAAATTTACAATTTGTCTTATACACTTAATTATTGGATTAGACACTAATCATACATTAATCATACACTAATCATACACTAATAATACATTAATCATACACTAATCCTACCTATAAACGATTTTAACCTTAGGCAAGATTGTTTAATAGACGAAATAAAATAATGTTTAGAAGATACAAATATCTAGGCTTGTGCATCTCATCCGGAAGTGAGTTGCTCAATCATTAACAATATCTTGAACTTTTTTAGAATAACCCCTGTCGGCCTTGTCGGCCTCCATTATCTCTTCATGCTACCTTCCCTTGTGTTTGTCCCTTGCTGTTCCTTTATTTGACTTTTCTTATTTAATAATATTAATTATTATTATTATAATTATAATTGTTTCGTGTTTAAGTTGAATGTCAACAGTTCATTTTTTATGTGTAGTTTAAAGTTCAAGTACTATAATATCAAAGTTAGATGAATTTTTTATACATAAAAATAAATATTATAATTAATGTGTAACCTATTTTCATATTATTTCATAAATGACTGTCAAATATGTTAAATGATTGTCCAAGTTTAATAACTTGTCTAAGTTTTAAAGTTAATTCACTTTGATCTTTTGTGAATGGTGTTGCAATTTATTCAATGATTATTTGAACTCAATGACTTGTCATTTAAATTGTTTAATTGTTCATCTAGACTTTGTGATTTGTCTTTGGTGGTCCAAGTTATGATTGATTGAATATTTATACACTACAATAATAATTAATAATGTGCTTTTTATACATTTTATATTATTTTATCTTATAAACAATACGTAATTCACTTATATATAAAAGAACTACCCACCACAAATTATAGTTATTGTGAAGAAAAAAAAAATATAAGTGTTTTCATTTCATTATATAATTATAATATTTTAAAAATTAATAAAAGTTCATTTTTATATGTTTTTCATTTTAATAATTATTTTTTAATTATAAATATTTTTATTATCGTGAAAAAATGGACACAAAAAACAATTCACACCTAATAATGAGAAGGAAAAATTATAATTTATATCAATAATAACTAAACTACACTACTTATAAATTATATCAATAATATTTATAATTTATATCAATAAAAAAAATAACCAAATCATATATTACATTTTTTTTTCACAAAAATGTTTATTATTTACATAATTAAAGGCAGCCTACATAAGTGCCTTTCTTAAACAGCTGTTTAAACAATGGCTTTTTCTTCCTGCGTCGTCCCAATTATTTCTTCTGATACCTGCATATTATAGAAAAGGACTAAAATGTCCTGCTTCACTACATCTCATCCCCACCATTGTCATTGCTATCTCTGCTGTCATCATCATTCTCATTGTAACTCTGTTCTTTACTGCAGAGGAAGGAGAGACGGAGCACATTCCAAAATAAAGCTCGTTCTGAAAAACTCATTCTAAAACACATTTTATGTGTTCTGAAATGCTTACTTTAAGAAAACTTGTTCCAGAAAATATCACATGTTCGAGAAACTTGTTTCTGAAAATTGTGTTCTAAAACACTCATTCAAAAACACATTTTATGTTTCAAAAGGTTAAATCCGAAAATCCTATTTTAAAAATGTTCTTTCAAAAATCCTATCATGTAATAAAATTTCCAAAAACTTGTTCTGGAAGGTATCTAGAAAAGAAAATCCAGAGATCACTTTTAAAAAAAAAAAGTATTTTCAAAATTATAGTGGTGCAACTAGAAATTAGGGGTGTGCCGGAAGAAAAAACCTAATTAGTCTCTTTTTTTTCATGGTCTTTTTTCCTTTTCAAACAATATTTTTATTATTTTCTTAAATTTTATTTAGTAAAAAAGTACAACAAAGGAATAGAAGAAATATGAACAGTCATCACGCCTGTGTTTTTATATATTAGTAATAATAATATTTCATTAAGTAATCTCTACACAGCTTTGATGAACTCATACAAGCATTGGGTTTGGTCTACAACTCGTAAGGAATAAAATGACGAAGTCACATTCACATCTCCCTCGTAAACTATTTATGATCAGGTGTCACCAAACCAAGAAAACCCAACATTTTAGATAAGAAGAATTCCATGCACCTCAATATTTCAGGTAATCGCATGCTCTTTCTTTAGAGTGCACGTATAATTACTGTCCATCAGGAATTTTGCATATTGCATATGCTTTCTTGCCAATCTTACATTCAATACCTTTGAATTTACAGCTAAAAATACTCTTGAAAGATTTTCCCACAGCGCACTTCATTTCCTCGTCGACAACTTTCTTCAGTGAATGGGAAATGTCACCCAGTGCCCATGCTAAGGATATGTGCGGACGAGGATCCTGTAATGAGTAGTTCAAGTTCAAATACTAGAAGAGAAACAGGGATAAGACAGTAGTTATGATGCAGTGGTTGTGGTGGCAGCATTACTCAATAAAACTACTGACCTTGTAAAACTCGGGAAGATTATGAAGTCTGTAAACTGTATTGACTGCTTCGATTTGCTTTGAAATCTGCAATTAATTGGAAGGAAACAGCACATTTCACATTCATTGATAAGCTAGATGGATGGAATGAATTGGCCTAAAGATTAAACAGTGAGAAAATAGTAGTCTTTTCAGATATTAACTCTACTTTCCGGATGTTCTCTCATCAAATCTCTAGTCTTTTTTCCAATTCTGTGTGACTTTCCATGCAAGACCAAAAGAATGTACAAGACTTATGAAAATGTACAATTCACCTTTATTTAATTCCGTTTCACATGTCACTCTAACGGTTTAATTCAGTTTCAAATGCAATTTTCCAAACTTCCCGTAGTTATATTACGAATAACATGATTTCTGTTACCAAGAGAGCATTAATATGTTTTAAATCAGCAGCTTTATAGGCAACCAACCAAGATACAAGTATTAAGCAACTATCAACACACATTTAAGCGACAAATGCAATACATAATCCCAACTTGAATATGATTAAGAGTAACACAAGCAACAGGGGCATGCAAAAAAGAAAAGTAAGGCTGGAAATCATACCTCTATTAACCCTCCTTGAACAACTTCTACTGAGAGAAAGGTGCGAGTGTGATCATCATTAACAAAAACCTCCCACTTGTTAAAGTCTATCCAAAACCTACTTCAAAAGGAAAAAATAAGGAAAACAGGTGGAAACAAAAATAATGTTCCATTTTCATAAGTGAAAAATAGAAGAAATAAAACTAACTGGCGCTGAATTTGAAGCTTCTGTTTCAGCATTGAGATCACTGAGTCAATCTGGTGCACTCGTATTGGAACAGTTCTTCCCAAACTTATATGAAATTCTCTTCCTAAGGCAACTTGTTCGAGCTTCTCGTCATTTTTGCAGAGCACATTTAATGGGACATCAACATCAACAACATAAAGATTTGGTTCCCGGGATGAAACTTTTTTCAAGAAAGCAGATAGTTCTTTCTTCGATGGAGATGAAATGTTAACTGTAAAGAAAAACTGTACCTTTTATTACCATGAAATTTTTTTGAACAAATTTACTGGCATGATGAAGTCTATTAGAGATATGTGAATAAATCATTGACGTACTGGTAAGGGAACAAGAAAATACAAAATATCCTTGCATGTAGTGCTTGAGCACGATCTAAAGATTAGGAAGGAAAAGACCTTTTGAATTCAAATCGTAAGTGAACTTATAATGTCCCATTCAATTTTAAGAATATCACTTTTACAACTAAATCTTGCAGGTGATCTGATTATACACCAGAAACTTCTAGGGTTCAAGAGCAGAAAGTTCAGACATAGACTGTAGTGAAATAGCTCAAACAAATTCATAGCAAATCTTCTACCACACAACGAAGAAAACAATAATAGAGTAACTTGCAAAAGAAACAACTAGAAGGTTAACAAGGAAGGACAAGGAAGAACCACACAAAATTTTTGTTCAAGTGTTAACAAACTTTAGTTTACGTCCACGTTAGAAATTCAGAATGAAAATAGGTATTACAACATGAAGTTTCTGAACCAGAGAACTCTTGTTCAACTAAAAGTTTTCCATCACACAATTGAACTCACAACTCCCAATTAAACAAAACTATTAATACAAGGTCCTATTGTTCAAAATAATTGTCGTAACTAACTTCTGTAAATCATGCCTAAACTAGCGGAGAAAACCTGTGACCAGTGCTCTTCTACTGAGCTTGAAACATGGAGACGAATTTTATAATGATAGATGAAGATAGGAAGTTAAGATCTGATGCAAGGTAGACGGTTTGATACCATCAAAAAGCCCTAAAAACATACGCACTGGTCAAGATAGATGCACTTGGGCCATCTCAGACGATCTCAAGGGTTTGATTCAGAAGGAAGGCAAAGTTAAATTAATGTGTGAAACTGAGAGATGTTGTGAATAACAGATTACTAATATTAAAATATCTTAAGAATTTTCTTATTCATTTCCACATATTTGTATTTCCTTATTTTAATGAATTTGATTATAACAAATAGAGATGATGAGAATGTGTTAGGATATAGGGTATTTGGGATATAAGGCTATAATGGGAAATGGGATTAGGATAGAAGGTAGAAGAATTGTATAAATAGATTGTTTGGATAGTTAGAAGGCAGTTTTTTGAGTACATTGTTTGTTAACAGGCCATTGACCTGTGAAGAGGGTTATGCCTCTGGATCTTGTATACAAACACTATTCTTTCTGTTAATAATACACAATTCACCATATATTTCTCTCTATTTTCTGGGTGTGAGAGACTGTGAGGGAGTTCTTGATTAGGTTCCCAGATTAGGAACCTATCAATTGGTCCGATCTGCCGGATCCCAATTCGGAGAGGTGAAGTCGCGCTTGATGGATGGAAGAGTGGCGGCAGTAGAAGGGCAGATGGAGGCGGTAGAGATTGCGATAGCCTAGACGAAGGCTGATAAGGTGTTCTTGCAGCATGAAACTGGGGCATTGAGGCAGAATTACGAAGCAATGCGCCAAGATATCCAAGCGATCCTGAAGATGTTAGGGGATCGCAATCGCGACCCACACAGGCCACGCCGAGAGGGAAGTCAATCCTTTGTGAATGAGAACGAGGGCGAACCGGAGGGGGAGAGAGGAAGACGAGGAGAAGGGCGACAGGACGGACAGATTAATTGGAGAAAACGGGTGGAGTTACCCGTGTTCGAAGGTGGCGAACTGTGGAACTGGATCAGTAGGGCGGAAAAGTTCTTTGAGGTGCAGAGAGTGGACAAAGACGAGAAATTACAACTGGGTTTCATTAGTATGGAGGGGTATGCTGGGATTGGAGAGAGAAAACCAAGAACCATTCTTGGGAAGGGTTGAAGAGAGCTTTGGGGATTAGGTTCGGGGGAGGAACGTGGGGAACGGTGTATGAGAGGCTATCGGCCATTAAGGAGGTCGGGAATGTGGAGGAATACGTAAGAGAGTTCGAAGTGTTGGTGGGGCAGACCACCAAAATTCCAGAGGAACAGATTATGGGCTACTTCATGGCGGGACTCCAAGAGGAGGTGGGCGACCATGTCAGGCCGCATGATCCCCAAGACTTGATGACAGCCATGCGAGTCGCACGTGATGTGGAGAAATTAGGTGCGCATACAAAGACGGGAGGGGGATCGGCGCCCAAGAACCAGAGTTCGTGGGGACGAACAGCGGGGGTGGTGGCGCGAGTAGAGTTCCAACACAATACGCAGAGTCAAGGAGGGGCCGCGGAAAGTGTCGGTTCTGTGAAGAAAGAGGCGACGCCGCAAGAACCACTGGCGACTGGAGGGAAAGGAATACCCGCAACCTACCATATTCGGAGTACGTGAAAAGGAGAGAAGAGGGAAGATGCTTCCGGTGTGGAGGGCCTTTCAGCCCAGGTCATCGATGTCCAGAGTGGGGATTGCGAATGCTGATCTTGGCCAAAGAAGAAGAGGAAAATTTGCCACCGCCCAAGCCCCCTGACTTGAATTGAAGGGCACAGCCAGTGGGTTTCCTTCATATGGTAACCCGATGAGGAAGAGGATCCATGAGACCAAGCTTCCCCATTCCAACCTTGAGGACAAGTTTGTTCTGCAACGGGGTGTAATGTTAGGATATAGGGTATTTGGGATATAAGGGTATAATGGGAAATGGGATTAGGATAGAAGGTAGAGGAATTGTATAAATAGATTGTCTCGATAGTTAGAAGGCAGTTTTTTGAGTACATTGTTTGTTAACCGACCATTGACCTGTGAAGAGGGTTATGCCTCTGGATCTTGTATACACACACTATTCGTTCTGTTAATAATACACAATTCACCATATATTCTCTCTGTTTTCTGGGTATGAGAGACTGTGAGGGAGTTCTTGATTAGGTTCCCAGATTAGGAACCTATCAGAATGTAACTAGTGTGATTATTGTCAATAAAATCATTCTTTATTTCCTTGCATAGATCAAGTAGTTGCAAAGCTCCTAATCTTGGGAGTCCTACTTTTTGTGCCACGTTAACAACCACCACCACCGTTGTTTGCCATTGTCATCGAGGTTAGAGGTGGGTCATAAAGGTACGTCCCATGCTGGTGATTACAACACTGACGGTTGCATAATTAGCAGAGTTGTCACACTATCATGTGCCACCACCAGCATTGATGTGTGCCCACTTGTTGTCATTGACATAAACATGAGCAAGTTTTACATACGGCTTCATCATAAAAGACTTTGGCATCCCTCATTGAATCTTATAAAATCCTTGTACCCTCGTTTGTTTACAGAAGAGTCCATTGAGTCTTTCAAATGTGATATTTGTTGACTGTCTAAAATTGTCATGTATCTTATTCCATCTGTGGTAAGGAAAATAATTTCTCATTTGACTTAATTAATTTTTTCTATTTAGGGATCTACTTTAGAATCTGTTTTTGGAGCATAGTGGATTGTTACTGATGTCAACCCCTAGCCAGAGATCCAATCACAAGAAGCATGACCAAGCAAATCCAAGAAGAGTCAACCATGGAAGGTGGAGTCAAACTCTTCTTCTCTTGGGCCATCATAGAATAGAATAATTTTGGGTTTTGTATCATGGGTCTAGTAGTGTCGGATTTGTTTTTGGGTCTTGTATTTTGGGCCAAGTAGAATAGGGTTTTTGACACTCAAGTCAACAAAGGGTCAAGGTCCAATATTGACCAAGTGGACGTCCAAAGCTTGTTTGACCAAGGGGTCAACATTTTCAAGCTAGCTTGGTGAGCAAGAGAGTGGGCGTCCCACCTTTTTAGGTTTTGATGCTTCTCATGGCAATGAATACCTAAGCTCTCCATTGTTGGAGTTAGATGTTACTTTTAGAAAGTAAGCAATAGGCCCAAGTGCAATTTAAATCTAAATGTGAGGCATCCTAATGTGCATAGACAAATAAATGAGTAAATTCAATAAAAATCACTCCAATGGCAAAACCATCACATGAAAAACATATAATGGTATGTTGACACAAATAAATTCTTCTAAAGATCATAATTAACTTACTTGGTATGTAAATATGCAAGGCATAGTTACCATCGACATGAGGGAAGCTCCTAACTCTTGTTGTCTGACATGTCTGCAGATCTAAAGGCCATTTACCATAAAAGCCATGAACAGTTGTTAAAAAAATAAACATTGCATACCAGCACATAATAAGAAATGAATTAATGACACTTCCAACATAAGAAATAAGAGTTTATGAATTCAGAAAAAACTTATAAAATCAACTAACATTTTGAGGTTAATAAAATTTGTGATTCTTATTAGTCTCTAATGGATCACCTAAACCTATCCAACAAGATAAAAGCTTCATTTTCTGTTTTCCTTCGATAATAAGTAAATAAAATCATCTTAAAACGTAGAATACCAAGAAATGCCGATGGGTCAAGGAGAGAGATAGGAGGTGGTGGCAGGGGTGTAAATACAGCTGAGGGAGCAGAGGTTGGAGCTGACGGTACAGATTCAGAATCCGAATCAGAAGATCCATCCCCATAACATGATTTCAGTGCCTCCATTTGTCAGTCTACACTTTATAACATACAAGATCTGCACATAAAACTCATAACATTTATGGTACCTCATATAAAACAAATATAATAATTAAAGAATGATCAAAATCTGCAGAAAGTAATCCCTGTGTGTTTATGCAATTATATAGCTCAATTATAAGAAGCAAAAAAATATTTCTCTCCCATTTAATTTGTAACTTCATCCTTTATGTACTTATTAATTTGCACTTATAAATCTAACATAGTTGGATGCTAAATGAGGTTACTTATAAAATAATACTTTTAAAGGACTGCACATTCAGGACTTGGCATGGGATTTCATTACTTTCTACTGGTAAAGCTCGAGCTAAAACCATTAAGCATGGCAAACTGTTTTTAATGGAACAAAACGCTAAGCAAGTTTCACCATAAGCCATTCCCATATGGGCAAAAGGAACACGTATCTCATCAGGTTCTAAAAGCTGTACATACAAAATATACAGGTTACAAGCAATCTTTTGTACAAATGCCACCGCAATCCATAAATCCAACCATTGAGGCATTCTAAACAAAAAATTAAAAATAAAACCATTAGAATAAGATAAATCGAAGTCTGATCAAACACTAAAAGGAGATTACAGAACCATTAGAAGAGTTGAGAATTAGTAACCTATGGCCCCCGAAATGAAAAAAAGGAAAATGATGAAAGGAAGATGGCACCATGTTGCATGCAGAGCATTTATTGCAGCATGCTTGGAGAACGAAAAACCTTCAAGACTATGGAACAGCTAGAAAGTATTTGCAAATGCTATTTTTCGTAAGACCTCTATACATTGAAGACATCTTTAAGAAGAAAGGGGTTGATTCCACATAAGAATACATCTTTCTCATCCTTTAACCTTTTTGAATTGTATATTATAAACCTATTGTTTAACAAGTTAAAAAAGGTGATTTTTTACAAGGTTTGTGAAAATACTTTTGACTGTAACTCTGTCAACAAAAAACTACACCTGATAATTTTCAGTCTTAAAACCTCTTTATCAAATCACACATTCTAGCTAAACATAGAGAAAAATTTTAATACACAATTCAATCCCCCTTTTTGTATATTTCCCTTCTTTTCACATTGTCATTAATAGCAAACCGTGTTTAGGAGCTACAGTACTAAAGTATATTTATCACTAAGAGAGAAAAGGTAACAAGACAATAGATACTCAATAGAACTAGTGTCATTCATGACACAAAGGAGTAACCTGTAAATGAGATATAAGGCAATTAAAACAGCTTCTCGCCAATGCATTTTGGGAACAAAAATCTGGAAAAAAAAGATTTCTAGCTACTTCTAGGAGATGACAATTCTTCATTTTTGCAACCCCATTTTGTTGTGGATGATAACACATTAGTTCATAGACAATACTACTAAGGGACAATAATTTGGAGAATTCATGATTCATATATTCAGTATCATTACTGGACCTAATTTTTTTGATGTGTTTTCCAAGTTGATTTTTGACAAGACAGAAAAAACTAACTAGTACAACACCCACCACATTGAAATAACTCTAATTTACTTTCCATATGAGTATAATCATGAATAAAAGTAACAAACCATTGTGCTCCAAAGATAGATTCTAAAATAAATCCCCAAACATCAAAGTGAATTAAATCAAAAGGGAAGTTACTTTGTTTATTGCTATTTGGATAAGATGCATGTTGGTGTTTTGACAATTGACCAATATCACAATTGAAAGACTCAACAAACATTTTGGTAAACAAATGAGAGAACAATGATTTGATAAGATTGAACAAGGGATGTGCAGGTCTTCTATGATGAATCCATATTTCAGAATTTGCCCATGATTTTGTTGTATCTTGTTGGCTTATAACCTCCTTTATTTTGTTTGGGTACTTGGACTCTAACACATAACTCAATCCGCTCCTTCACAATCAAAATCATTGTGGCAAGGTCCTGAAAGATATAGTAAGAAGAGGAGAACATTACTAAACAACTAAAATCATTCGTAAATTTTTGTATAAAGATATTGGTCATTTGGGGGACATATAAAACACTTTAATTCAATAGATGATTCTAAAATTATATTGCCTGATTCGCATAGAGGTATACTTTCACCATTTGCAATTGTAATGAATTATTCTCTGTTCATTTTAACATACAAATTAAAAATTATGGGAATCAAAATCATGTAATTAATTTTTCCTGAATCAAGAATACAAACACTTGGAGACACATGCCCAATTGAACACATGCGCAATTCTATTGAATGAACTCTTACCTCTAATGGACAAGGTACACAACTCAAATGACTTACTCATTGATTCAATCTTTGTTCTCACATGATCAAGTTTCTCCTTAAATAGGCTTTCATATTAAGATTTAGTTGACAAGGAACACTAGGTTGATCTGTTTCTTCAAGTTCTGAGGTAGTATTGTTTGCCCATTCATGTGAGGTTTCTTTGTTGCCTCCCATTCACTCCAGTACTTTGTTTCCTCGATAGAATTTGAAGCATATTTCCTTAGTTTGCCCATATCTCTCACAATATTACCAATATTCTCTAAGGTTGCCTTTTGTATAGGGTTTTTGGTCGGATACTAAGAGTGTATGAGAGGAGAAGGAAGACAGGGGGAAGGTCAGGCCGAACGGCAGAGGAAGAGAGGCCGAACGGTGGGGAAGAGAGGACGAACGGTAGCTAATCGCAGAGGAGAAGAAAGGCCGAGGAACACTAGACCGAACGGTATCACTAGACCGAATGATATCAGTAAGCCGAACGGTTGTTTCAGTACGAAGGAGCATGGGAGTGAGATATTATAATGCGACACTATAAATAGTCTTCTTTGTTTTCTTTTCGAGGAGATTTCTCCTTTTGGGTATAGACTAGCCATATTTGCCAGTGGAGGAGGTTAGGCTTCTTTGGGGGAGATTATACTTGTAATTTTCTTCACTTTACAGTATCAATAATACATACTTACATACTTTCATTTGTGTTGTTCGAGTATTTGATTGAGAAGAGAGCATAGATTTAGGTTACTCGCATAAAGTAACCTATCAATTGGTCCGACCTGCCGGATCCAAATCGGAGGGAGAGCAAGATGGAAGGGAAGTTACATGCATTGGAGAACCGAATTGAAGGGAGGATGAGCGCATTGGAGATGGCGGGAGAAGAATTGAAGGCGGACAATATGGGCATCGTTGTCCAGAGAGGAGTATGAGGGTGACCATTCTGGCGGAAGACGAGGAGGAAGAAGAAGGGGAGAACGAGGAAGAGAAGGAACCGAAGCCCATGGAGCTATCCTATTTTTCAGCAAGGGGCCTCACCCAACCGAAAACTATGAAGCTTCATGGATGGGTGAATGGGAGAAGTATATTGGTACTGATTGACAGCAGTGTCAGTCACAATTTCATAGCCAAAAGAACAGTGGAAGAATTACAACTGCCTGTGGGAGAAACACCAACCTATAGGGTATGTTTAGGAGATGGCCAAAGAAAGGAAGCACAAGGTTGCTGTGAGGGGGTGACTGTGAAGTTGGGTGATGTGGAAGTGACTCAAAAATTTTATTTGTTCGAGTTGGGAGGAGTGGATCTTATCTTGGGAATGGCATGGCTGGCAACTCTGGGTGAAGTAACCATCAACTGGGGTACTTTAACAATGGGGTTTAAAAGCAAAGAGAAGATGGTTTCGATCAAGGGCAACCCTACTCTGGCCCGAGAGGTAGTATCACCTGCGGCTTTGTTAAAAGTCAATGAAATAGAAGCTATAACACTGGTCTGGGATCTGGGGCAGACAGAATGGGAAGGAAAACAAGCAGAGGAGAGGCAATTGACGTCAACACAGAGGAGAGAACTGGAAGTGGTGCTGGAAGAGTATGAGCAGGTCTTCAGGGAACCCCAGGAATTACCTCCTGTTAGACAGTGGGATCATAAGATACCCATTAAGGAGGGAGTAGACCCAGTGAATGTAAGGCCATACAAGTACCCTTATTCAATGAAGGCCGAGATTGAAAGACAAGTTGTAGAAATGTTGGAATCAGGGATTATAAGGCCTAGCAACAGTCCCTATTCTAGCCCAGTAATTTTAGTTAAAAAAAAGATGGAAGCTGGAGATTCTGTATAGATTACAGGGCTTTGAACAGGGCAACAATACCTGACAAGTTCCCTATTCCAGTGATAGAAGAGCTTTTGGATGAACTTAAGGGAGCCAAATTCTTTTCTAAGGTGGGTCTGAAAGCATGGTACCACCAAATTCGGATGGGGAAAAAGATATTCCAAAAACGGATTTTAGAACACATCAAGGCCACTACGAATTTTTGGTCATGCCGTTTGGGCTTACAAATGCACTAGCAACGTTCCAGTGTGTGATGAACAATTTACTGCAGGCCTATTTGAGGAAAAGTATACTGGTGTTTTTAGATGACATCCTGATATATAGCAGCAATTGAGCAGAACACAAAAAGCATGTCAGGGAGGTATTGGGCACTTTATGAGAACAAAAGTGGTATGCCAATAAGAAGAAGTGTGCTTTTGGCAGAAAACAGATTAGTTACTTGGGGCATGTGATATCTGAGGAGGGAGTTGAAATGGATAGGAAGAAGGTGGCAGCTGTGATCGAATGGCCAGAGCCTAAAAACATCAAAGCTTTGAGAGGATTCCGGGGCCTCACAGGATATTACAGGAGATTTGTGCAGGGGTATGGTAAGATTGCTCGACCTCTAACTGATTTATTGAAGAAAGGACAGTTTTGTTGGACTTCTCAAGGGAGTGAGGCTATGAAGAAATTGAAGGAAGCTATCACATCAGCCCTCGTTCTGTCCTTACCTGATTTTTCTCAACCCTTTCACATTGAATGTGATGCATCAGGTAAGGGAGTAGGAGCGGTGCTATCACAGAACAAGAAACCAGTGGCTTACTTTAGTAAAGCAATTTCAGCGGCTTCATTGAACAAGTCCATATACGAGAAAGAGTTTATGGCCCTAGTCCTCGCAATACAACACTGGAGACCATACCTTCTGGGCCAACAGTTTCTAGTCCATACATATCAGAGGAGCTTAAAGTACTTGCTAGAACAGAGAATTACCACACAAAACCAACAGAATTGGCTGGCGAAGCTGCTGGGATACAATTTTGTGATCAAATATCGCACTGGAGTGTCTAACGGAGGGGCAGATGCGTTGTCACGTAGGGGAGAATATGAGGAAGAGGAGGACAAGGAGGTGAACTGGATTGCCAGACCCTACTGGCAATATTTTCAAGAAGTCTTGAAGGAGGTGGAGGGGGACCCAGTTCTACAGAAAATCACTGAGGAGTTGAAGGCTGATGCAAACTCACATCCATGTTATACATTGGAGAATGACAGATTGCATTACAAGGGGCGGTTAGTTCTCTCAACTACATCACAGTGGATTCCTAAATTGCTGAATGAGTTCCACGCAACCCCAACAGGAGGCCATTCAGGTATCTATGGAACTTATCGCAAAATTGCACAATCCTTGTACTGGATCGGGATGAAGAAAACTGTGACAGATTTTGTAGCTAGATGCTTAGTCTGTCAACAGCATAAGTACCTAGTAGCATCTCCCCAGAGACTAATACAACCCCTACCCATACCGCAGGCAGTCTGGGAGGAAATTAGTATGGACTTCATAGTCAGGCTACCGAAATCACAAGGGTTTGATGCAGTACTGGTGGTCGTGGACAGACTAAGTAAATATGCTCATTTTATAGCACTGAAGCATCCCTATACAGCTAAAACAGTGGCAGAAATATTTGTTAAGGAGATAGTTAGGCTGCATGGGATGCCTCTGTCCATTGTCAGTGACAGAGACCCACTATTCTTGAGTATGTTTTGGAAGGAGATGTTTAGGCTTCAGAACACACAGCTACAAATGAGCACAGCTTACCATCCGGAAAAAGACAGACAGACTGAAGTGCTGAATAGGGTGCTGGAATCCTACTTGAGGTGTTTCTGCTCAGAGCAACCTAAAAAATGGTGTGTTGTTTTACCTTGGGCTGAGTATTGGTACAATACTAGTTATCAAGGGTCGGCCAAATGCACTCCATTTGAAACAGTATATGGTAGGCCTCCACCAACCTTAACCAGATACATACCCAGGGAGACTGCAGTGGAAGTAGTAGCTCAGGAGCTACAGACCAGAGATGAAGCTTTAATACCGCTAAAATTTCACTTACAAAAGGCTCAAGATCAAATGGCCAAATATGCCAACAAAAAAAGGAAACCATATGAAATAAAGGTGGGAGACTGGGTCTATTTAAAGATTAGACCGCACAGGCAATCGTCCATGCCAGCAAGAATACATTCGAAGTTGTCTGCTCGTTATTACGGGTCGTTCGAAGTACTGAAACAGGTGGGTCTGGTGGCATTTAGACTGAAACTACCCGAGACAGCAAAGATACACCCGGTTTTCCATGTGTCACAACTAAAACTGGTCGTGAGCACCCAGCAAGTGGAGAAAGAATTACCCTCGGAGTTGCAAGGAGAGGGGCCTAGTTTCTGGTCGGTAAAGGTCTTGGACAAGAGACATCAACAGAGCGATGAAGGCAGAGTAACTCAGGTATTGATAGAGTGGCAGGAAGGAGGGAGAGAAGGGGCGACCTGGGAAAATATTCTGACCATACAAGAGAAGTTTCCAGATTTCAACCTTGAGGACAAGGTTGAGGTTGAAGGGGCGGGTAATGGTAGGATACTAAGAGTGTATGAGAGGAGAAGGAAGACAGAGGGAAGGTCAAGCCGAACAGTGGAGGAAGAGAGGCCGAACAGAGGACGAACGGTAGCTAATCGGAGAGGAGAAGAAAGGTCGAGGAACACTAGACCGAACGGTATCACTAGACCAAACGGTATCACTAAGCCGAACGGTTCTTTCAGTAGGAAGGAGCGCGGGAGTGAGATATTATAATGTGACACTATAAAGTCTTCTTTGTTTTCTTTTCAGGGGGATTTCTCATTTTGGGTATAGACTAGCCATATTTGCCAGTGGAGGAGGTTAGGCTTCTTTGGGGGAGATTATACTTGTAATTTTCTTCACTTTACAGTATCAATAATACATACATACATACTTTCATTTGTGTTGTTCGAGTATTTGATTGAGAAGATAGCATAGATTTAGGTTACTCGCATAAAGTAACCTATCAGTTTTTGTCCATTGTTTGATCCCTTAACAACTTCTTTTCCTATTGTCATGGTATAGCTTATGTTGGAGGTTCTTGCATTAAGCATAATAGCTGTCCAAGTTTCTACTCCCTAAAAATAAAGTATACTTTTGACAGAGGAGGCAATATTTCTATCCCTAAGATTTGTACTTTGATTGGATCACATTCATTGTCCAGACCATATAGGAATTTATGTATTATTCCTCTTTCAACAGCTTCTTCATGTGCAACAAAATCTATTTTACACATCTTCAAATTTTGGTACTTATCTAGTTTATCCACAACACATTCAAAAATTTTGTTATATAGATGTACAAAGATAACTATAGTTTGGTATTAAACACCCTGCTTTCAATGTTATAAGAAGCAGCAAAATTGCGCTTCCAAGAAAGTGTTATTTTGGTCATCCCAAATTTCTTTAGCAAAGGATAAACCATAAATTTGACTTATCTCAGGAATCATGGAATGACATATTCCGGTCATGATTAGTGAAATCTTCACTATCCCAAATCTCAAAAATAGGGTCATTTGGCCCTAATCCTCCTCCATTGATGTGGTTTGACTTTAACTGTCCTTTTTAGAATCCTCCAAATATACTAGTTCCACTACAAATATCTTTGACCATCTGACCTGACCAGTACGGACACTCACCACTTTGGGAGATAATTAGGTCCCATAGGGGAAATTTTCACCTTAGCCATTGAAGAAAAAAGTGCAAAATGTAAACATAAAAAAGGGAATTGTTTGTTAAGAGAGCAAAAAACTTAGATCTACTCAATTCGGAGACAAATACAATGTTACCACCCTTGGGATGGACTCAGGGATATTTGCGGTCCTGTCTGTGGTGGCAGCGGTGGGAGGGTTTCACCAGAACAAAGTGCATGGGCTACACACACTGACTCTAGTAGTGGGGCATGACAGCACATGGTGTTTCTGTAGGTGATGCAACTGTCAGTGTTGTCATCTCCTGTGTGGGACACACACGGCAGCAGAGGAGGCAGACGGTGGATGATGGCAACAGCAACAGTAGCAGTAGCAGAAACAAAGCCCCAAAATTGAGAGCTCTGGTGCCAACTAAATAATGATGGAATAAAAAAATCTATTATGAATTTTAATCATGCTAATTGCATTCTCAACTCCTATATATGTAACCATCACGTTTTATTAATAAAATAAATTCTATTGGAATGAATGTGAAGATTATAAGGATATTTTATTCTAATTACCATGGAGATATTAAGATATTTTTATCCCAACATTCCCCTATCAACAAAATCAAATACATCAATTCATAATTTTACATTGTCACAAGTGACTGGAATCAACTACCTCTCAAGAACCAAACATTAGTATCCTCAACAAACTTTTACATATTAGAAAAAAGTGGACAGAGTAGCTAAAGCCCGTCTAAGCTCACAAGTGATTGCAGATACCGAAGGGAAAAAAAACTGTTAGATTTAAAAAATATTTCCTTCACAGATTTGTCACATTTTCTTGACAAACAAAATACAAAAGTTGAAAATCAGATGAGGAAAACATATTAGTGTTCTGATGCAAAAGATTAGCAAGCATCACAACATCAGAAGACAAAGAAAGAAAACGCATGGAATATAGTTTAAAATATTAGATGGAAAGATCCTCTATGATCGTCCCGTATTCATGATCCAGTTTCAAAATATGTCAATAATTAAAATTGTTTTATATCACCTCATATTGAGAGAAATTAGATACCCTAAAATTAGTTTCAAGAAATCACAGGATTAACCAAAATAAAAACGAATTTCATCATCAAAAAAAGAAAAATCATGCTAGATATTTTATCAAACACGTGACTTACAAGCTCAAACTACCAAGAAATCAAACAAAAGAAAAATCTCAATCTAAAACGAAACCAAAAGGACACCTAAAATATTCAATGCATTGAAAAAGAAAACTGAAGCAAATGTTTGTCATCTTATTTCAGAATTCACCAAGAATAATACATATACATGTGTGCGGTCATCTATAAATATACAAGAACGAAAGAAAATAATTTTCCAGACACAAGAAAAAGCAAAATTGAAGAGAGCTATCATTACAAAAATCAAGTTTTAACTGATGTCACTATGGAGCACTGTTAAAAAAAAGCTACCAAGGTCACTGACTAGGTCGAGGAACTGTCCGGTGCTTTAAATATATTGGAGCTTGCAGCTCATAAAACTTTTGGCTATAGGGAAGGAAAATTAAAGTAGAAACAAGAATAACATTGGAGTAGCAAATTTTAGTCAAAAGTAAGCATAACAATGCTAATTTGGACTATAAAAAGGGAAATACGAGATATTGAACAAATGACAATAACAAATGGGAAATTGATTCCTAATAATTGTTTAATCTAAAGCAAAAACGGTGAACGAAAACAACAGTTGCATTATTGTGAACATTGCTTTTCATTTTCTGTATGAATTTTCAGCTACAAAGAATCAGTTAGATTAATTGTTCATTAAAAAGGTTATCTATCAGTTACGAAGAATATGCCTAAGGTTTTTCTGCAGTTTGGAGCACGGCTATGTTATGTGCATTTAATTTATATCCAACCAAATTTAAAACATGAACAAGTATGTGAAGGGAGAAAAAGGTTACCTCAAAGTTTTGCGTTATGGTGAACCGGCCACGTCCGCCACTGTCATCAGGTTCGCGATGGAGAAGAAAGGGGAGAAAGGCTAAAAACCGAGAAGGGTTGCAATGTTGTTCTCTTTCTCAACGTCTCTGTGAGCTTGCGACTATGTCATGGTTTTAGGAAATATTAAAATGTAACATATTACTTAGGTTAATTTAATAAATCTAATAAAAAAATAATTATGTCTAAGATAAGAACGAAATTACGAAATTTAATTAAAAATGTTCTTATTAATAATCATCTAAAATTCATTTTCAAAATAAAATAGTAAATATTTTCAAAATATATATAATAGTAAACAAAAAATATTTTTATTTAAAAAACCCCTTATCTTGTTCGCAAATTTAAAAAATAAATTAATTTCGTACCATAGGAATAATAAGGGAAACATTCGAATTAAGTTCATGATAAATATAGTTGTTATTACATAAAAATTTATTAAAAAATAAAAAATAGAAGTATGAGAATCATACCAAACTTCATGATAAAAAGACAAATTCTTCAACACATTAAAAAATTTATCATTAATCAACTCTCTTACATTTTCAAAACGACATTTATTTTTAAGAAGATTTTGCTTGGAAGGATTTAGTATTAACTTTAAAACTAAGAATATTCACTTTGTTAAGTTCCATATTATTGCATCAACCTTTAGGAAGAAAAAGATGTTTGTTAGTCTTGGCAATAAGAATCTTGTCCTCAGCATCTCTCATGTTCTTTTGAGCATTGATCTTAATTTTTAACTTTGAGACAGTAGAAATGAAGCTCTTCAAGCTTCAAGTCTCCTTGAGATCAATCTCCATATGAAGAGGAGAGAGTTGTGTCCTCCTAACCTTTGCTAGTCGCTTAACATCAAATAGTTCAAGTTTATCAATGAGCTTCACATCAATGCCCAATTGCATTTGCTCTGATGTTGGCGACACTAAACCTTTGGCCTCTAAAGGCCCCAATCAATAATATCTTGTTCCTTCCTAGAAGAGGAACTTTAGGAGAGGCTAGAAAAATCCATCACTCCTTGGTGTTGAATTACTTGGTATATTAGATAGTCATAGCAACTCCAATATATGTCAAGGTTAAGATTATTCATACTAGGGACTAGGTTGATGAACAAGTGAGGGAGGTTGAAGGGAATGCCCGTCAAGAGATGATAGAGCACAGACCTTCCTAGCTCCATCTTATGGTCCCTTGCATTGCTCTTGTGAAGAATGGTTTTGGAGATGACATGTTGTAAAATCTTTGTGTATGGGGTGAGCAGCCGGTAGGTGATCTCAATTTTTACATAGGCTTGAAGTTGATCCCGTATAGCCTTCCTTCAACAATACAATCAAACTCATACATGCGGTCCCAACCCTCATAATAGTATTTGTCGAATTATTCATAGTTTACACCAGCGACAATGGAGGCAATATCTACTCGGACCTCCTTTCTGATGACCTTGGAGACAATGCCATTTATGCTGACGTCTACATTTGTCTAGAATTGCCTTATCAGCTCTAGCAAAATTGGGGTATCCCAGTCGAATTATTTGTGAATGTCACATAGATGAACATTGGTGAGAACACAACCCTGTAAGCATGGAGTTCTTCAAGGTCAATCCAGTGTTCTGTTGGGTCTATCGAGGAGGAGGTTCCTTATGGGTTACACAAACACCAATAAAATATGAGCCAACTATATAAGGGATCGACACCACTCTTTACCCAAAACCTTAAGGCAATAGGTTAATGGGTCTTTCACCTTTATATACTGCTCTACTTTCTCATTTCTATACAGTGTGGGACTTAGACTCACACTTGGATTCCCAACAATCTCCTCCTCAAGGGTGAGTCCCTTCCACATAGGTACACTCTCCCTCCAGCGGAAGCATTCCCAACCAACAACAACCACAAGTAATCCTTTCCAACTGTCGTTCATCTTAATGGAACTCGCTTATCTGAATACCCTTTGCCAGAAAGACTTTCGGTATAGGGATCATTATACTCATCTGAGCCGGTCACTAAGACAAACCATTGTCTTTGATACCACTGTTGGGTCTATCGAGGAGGAGGTTCCCTGTGGGTTACACAAACACCAATAACATTTGAGCCAACTATATAAGGGATCGATGCCACTCTTTACCCAAAACCTTAAGGCAATGGGTTAATGGGTCTTTCACCTTTATATATTGCTCTACTTTCTCATTTCTATCCAATGTGGGATTTAGACTCACACTTGGATTCCCAACATGTTCCACATATAGTTGGATGGGTTTGTCGAGGATCAAGTTACTCATGCTAACTAGCCTTGAGGCATTACATATCTCATCCAGAGAAACTTCAACAATCTCTTGGTTCCCGATGTGATCATAGATGGGAAAAACATGAAGAAAACAAAAGAGTAAAGAGTGTAGAATAAGTTTCATTGAGGCTTGTATTTCTACCTTAGTAGTGTAAGTTGTTGATTTCCTTGTTGTACCTTTTGATCTAGTTTGAGTTGTAAGAAGCTTATATATTCTTCTCCTCTTGAAAATGCAAGCAATGTGGGACATAACATAGCTTGAACTTAAAAGAAAGAATAATAAATAAGTCTTCTTCCTTTAGATAGCTTGTAGCACAAGGCAACTCTTTCTTAGCATTAATTTTGCTCTTTTAACAAGTTAGGTAGGTTATATACCTTTAGGATGATGAAGAATTGGGTGATGTGGGACTTAAGCTACCTTGCATGTGTGCTTATGTAGTCCCTTGCATCTAAGTCCCACATTCCTTAGCCCAATCACCAATGATTTTGTCTGTTGGGTGATTCTTTGTCATTAGACGACATGATCCGTTAGCTTCTCTTAACTCTTCAGGAGACTTGTCTACTTGTTTTGACAATCTAGGAGCAGACGATTCGTTGGAGGGCCTAGACGCTTTAGGATCAGAGGATGTTTCTCTATCGCTTCTTTTGTTTTTCGTTTGTTTATCTACATATATGCAAATGCTTCATCTAGCTCTGACATTTTATTGTCAGGCTCATTTTCGTTAAATTTAACATGAATGCCTTCTTCTACCTTATATGTTTTAGAGTTATACACTTTATATGCTTTTGAGATTTCTAAGTAGCCAAGTATGATACCCTCATCACTTTTTGAGTCAAATTTACCTAAATTCTCTTTAGTATTTAGGATGAAACATTGACATCCAAAAGGATGGAAGTAAGAGGTGTTGGGTTTTTTGTTCTTCCATAATTCATATGGAGTCTTGCTAATGATAAACCTTAAATAAACTTTATTTTAAAGATAACAAGTTGTATTGACTGCTTCAACTTATAAGTGTTTTGGAGTGTTAAAATCGTTTAACATTGTTCTGGTCATTTCTTGCAAAGATCTATTCTTTCTCTGAATGACTCCATTTTTTTGGTGTCCTTAGAGTTGAAAAAATGGGATTTATGCCAGAGTTTTCACATAAATTTCAAAATTGTTTAATTTCAAATTCTCCTCCATGATTACTTCTGATTGATACAATCTTACAAACCTTCTTATTTTCTATCTTGTTACAAAGTTTAAAAAATTCTTCAAAAGCATCATCCTTATGGGTCAAGAACTTTACCCAAGTCCATATAGTTAAGTCATCGACGATTATTAATCCGTAGTATTTACCATTGACAAACGCAGTTCTTATAGGACCAAACAAATCAATATCCAGTAGTTCAAGAAGTCTTTCAGTTGAAATATTATTTTTACTTTTAAAATACTCTTTGACCTGTTTACCTTTCACACAAGTATTACAAAAGATCGTGTCCTTGAATGACACTTTAGACAACCCTCTCATGAGGTCATGGCATTACAACTTTGAGATTAATCTCATATTTGTATGTCCACATTTATTGTACTATGATATTGCTTCATCTTTTATAGATATTAGGCATGAAACACTTTGATTCTACAGTTCGTTTAGATTTATTTTATACAAGTTGCCTTGTATATTAATAGTAAATACTGTTAGACCTTCATCGTCTAATAATTTACATTGGCCTTTTTAAAAAATAACATTATATTTGTTATCACACAATTGACTTGTGCTAAGCAGATTATGTTGGAGGCCATCAACTAATAAAACATTTTCAATAGATAGGAAACAGTTTATACCTATCTTTCCAATGCCTATTATTTGGTCTTTTTGGTTTCCACCGAATATGACTATTCCTCCCTTCTTGTTCCTTAGGCTTTGGAACATAGATCTTTCTCCCTTCATGTGACGTGAGCACCCATCGTTCAAGTACCATGATAGGGATTTTTTTTCTACTGTCAACCAAAAAACTCATCACAACACATTTGAAAATGATATATGCAAACACACTAGTTTTAATTGGTTTAACAACTAACGTAATCGATTCAAACTAGTTGTTTTGCCACAGTTCCAAAACCAAGTTGTCTGATGACCTTAATTGATTACTACAACACTGTAATCGATTATGTCATGCATATATGCTTTTGTGCTTGTGATTTTCAATACACATAAACATATAGTGTGCATACATAGATATAATCACATCATAATCACAATAGTATGCATAAATCACACAGTATGTCCAATATATGCACTTGTCACAGTATATGTATTTATCATAGTAAGCATGTACAAATTCACATATGTATAACGCAACACAGAAACATTTTTCTGTTGTGACATTACAACATTCATGTGTTGTTGCTATTAATGTGTTGTCATCATCAAAAACATTATAAGAGAGATTTGGTTCAGCTATCACTTTGCTCCCCCTATCAACAACTTGTCAGAGCAGAAGTCTTCAATAGAAACATTCCCAGAATGTTCTTCACTTCTTCTCAACGTATTTATCTAACGTGTGAAAATATTCTGACTAATCCTTTGTGTATTCTTGTTCTGCACATATAACAAGGACAAAGTATACAAGAAAAATAACACTTTACAGTACATGCCTTAAACGATATTAAAAGTTTTGAACATATATAGACATTAATTTATATTGCTTTTCCAAAACATCTTATCACACGTCTTGTCAGTAACCAATGCATCGTTCAAGTATAACGTTCAAGAAATGTTAAATTATGTATAACACATTGACAGTAGACGATGTTAAGACTTAGATTCTTATGAGAATTTGTTTTAGA